CTGGGCTCTCTAATCTGTTCCATGCATCTATGTGTTTATCCCTCATCCAACGCTTCGCATTCTTGATTTCTATACCTGTATAATAAGCTTTGAAATCAGGTAATCTTGATGCCTTCCACATTATTCTTCTGTACCATAATTGTCTTAGCTATTCTAATTCCTCTGCCTTTCTACATAAATTTTAGAATAATCTCGTCTATTATCTACAGAAACCCGTGCTGGAATTTTGATAGAAACTGTGTTAAACCTATATATCAGTTTGGGGAAATTTGACATCTTTCTATACTGAGTCTTCCAGTCCAGTATTATATTCTGTCTCATCATTTATTTAGCAATTTGATTTCTTTCATCAACTTATGTAATTTTAAGCATACAAATCCTGAACATGTTTTGATGAGGGAGAAAAGCATTGATCAGCTGCCTCCTGCATGCCGCCCACCAGGGACTGAGCCCACAGCCTGGGCTCAGGAATGTGCCCTGACCAGGAACTGAGCTGGTGACCCTTCAGTGTACAGGACGACACCCAACCAACTGAGGCACACAGGCCCTGGCTGCTCTTCTTTTTTTCCCCACACCCCAAACCCCAGATAAAAAGCAAGCATGGCATACCTTCCTTTCTTCCTCCTGAACATCATTCTACCCTCTCTGACCACACTCCTTACCCTTTTTAGCTATAGATTCTGGAGACACAACTTTTTCCAAATGCAACTTCTCTACCCTCAGCCTTGTCTTACCAAAAGCTGCGGACAACTCCTCAGTAAAATCATTTACTGTTTTCCCAGTAGAGACCATTTCTCTCTGTCCTGTGACCCTGTGGCTCCATAACAGGGACAGGCATTCATTCTCTCAGTCCGCATTGCTTCTGACGTTGTTCTCCTGCTGTGATGTAAATCTGCCTTTTGAGAGTAATGCCAACTGATTCTTTTTTAAAATAACTATTTAATTGACTTTTTAGAGAGAGAGAGAAACATCCTTCGGCTGCCACCTGTATGCCCCTAAAGGAGACTGAGCCCATAACCTGGGCATGTGCCCTAACCAGGAATCAAACCCGGCGACCTCTCAGTGCCTGGGACAAGCACAACCAACTGGGCCACACCGGCTGGGCTGTCAGCTTATTTCTGCTCGCTGTCCCCTCACTCAACGGTCTCATCCACAAGTGTCAAATCAGCTTCCTCCACAGCTCCTACATCCTTCCTGTCACTCAGTGATCCGCCCGGTGTCCTAGGCTCACAACTACAGCTCTCCTCTACTGTGGGGTCTTGACTGGTGTTCAGCTTCCACCCACAGCCACTCCTTCCCCAGACGGTCGCTTCCCCTTTGTCCTGCTGACGTCATCCATCTACTCCAATCCCCAGGACCTGTTTCCTCTGATGTCATCAAGAGCTCTCTCTTTTTTAACCTTGCTGTCTCTGATCTCTGTCTTTGCTTCAAACTACCAACCTGCTTTCTTCAGTGTCCTCACCACAACACGTCTTCAGCGATCAGTAACCATGACTACTGTTATGTTTTAAAAGTGATCTCAATTCAACACCAGTACTTTCTAATTTCTAAATCCAACAGACTCTTTGTGGTCCTTTCTGAAAAAAAAAGTGACCCGGTTTCTTTCCTAAAACTCTCTTCTGAGATTGATTTCTTCAGAAGGTCATCAGGAATCTTCCATAACTACAATTCTTCCTGCTCAGTGTTCTTTGTCCAAGCCACTGTGGGTGTGGCCTATGGTTCAGCCCCACCCCCCAGCTGTCATTTGTACATAAACAATTCCTGAACCTCCTGTCTTCCTATAACTCTATCCTGAGCTCTGGAATGGCATTCCTCAGCTCCGTAATGCATCCTGCACTGTTTCCAACTGCATGTCTTTTTGGTATCTCCAACTTAGCAAGCTTGCCTCCTTCTCTACCAGCACCCTCCTGCCACACCCACCACGGGAGACATAACTAAATTGTAATTTGTATTTTTTTCCCTTTGTTGATTTTAGAGAGAGGAAGTGAGAGAGTGAGAGATAGAAACATCGATGAGAGAGAACATCGATTGGCCGCCTCCTGCATGCCCCCCACTGGGGTTCGGGCCCACAACCTGGGCATGCGCCCTGACTGGGAATCGAACCAGCGACCTCTTGGTGCTTGGGTTGATGCTCAACCACTGAGCCACACTGGCCGGAACTAAATTACAATTTGTAAGCAAAGAAGTAATAATGGTGGGACTGATTTTAAAAGAAAATAAGCAAAGGTGAAAGTTTCAATCTCTGTGCTGCGGAGCTTTCTCAGGCAGGCAGAATTCTTTCAAGAACAGGATAGATAATGACCATTATCTCCAGGGATAGTCAATTCTCTCAGCTCTTTTACTTTACTGGAAATGCCTTTCAAGAAAACCACCTCTCCTTGTTCCTATTTTAAGCTTTGACGGCAACTTTCTGATCCATAATTAGATTGAACAAAAAGGCAGATATCTGTTATTGTGACTGAGATATAGCTGTTATATACTCATAAAGTGGCATTGAAGTTGGTAAATGATTCTCTTGTCAGTTTGGTTGGTGTGAGTCAGTGCCCCAGAGTTGCTGACCTCTAGGTGAACTGTTGACAGATCAAGTTTCTGGATGTGTAAAACTGAAGACCAGTTTCTGAACTGTGGCAGTTGAAAATAGACCATGGACCTGAGAGGTGAGGTCTAGTTAAGGAGGTCAACAGACTCTCCTTGTTGATATATTTTTAGCTGTACACTTTGCCTTACATATCTGTGTCCCACACAGTACATACCACAGTGCAAACATCGAAGCATTGAATACTTGTTTATTATCTGACTTCAGATGTTCAGTGGTGTGTCCAAAAGAACAATGTTAAATGCATTCAATCCATTAACGAGAATTTGCAGGAGACTAACAATTACTCCCACAATGTGAATTTCCAGGAGACTCACAAAGCTTCCATGGCATGAAAGACAGTAGAAATATTAATAGCAATAGAAATAGAAACAATGATAGTAACAAAAAAGCAGCACATGAAGTGGCAAAATCCTTAATGGCCTCAAGATTGATATAGTGACTATTTATTGAGTGTGTATTATTGAGTAGGTGCCCTGCATATTTTATTTTATTTTATTTTATTTTATTCTCCCAATATCCTATGAGCTGCAAATATTATGCCCATTTTATAGTTGAGGAACATACAAGCAAGAGGTTTCAAGTAGCCTGCTCAGTGCACGCAAGTAGTAAGTGGCAGAGGTGGGTTTAAATGTCAGGCTCCAAAGCTGATGCTGTCAGCGTGATAGACATGCGCAGTCTTTCAAACCACAGGGGATATTACAAAGAGTTAAGCTATCAAAATTTACATAGATCTGAGGGTCAATTATACTGTTTTTAACTACAAACAGCCATCCTTACATGTAGGCTAAATGTTGTTTTAGTAATTTATTTGGGAAAGGTGTAGTGTAGTTTTTGACCAGGTCCTCCATAAGAAATAAAAAATTCACTGAGACCCAAGATACAAGTACATAAATATGTATTTTGTGTGTGGGTGGGTGGGTGGGTGTGTGTGTGTGCAATTAAAATCACAAAGCTTACTCACTGAGTTATTGACCCTGATCTATACTATTCTATTTGCTTTGTTAGAGTGCTGATCATAACTTACTATACTGATTTCCTGAGCCCCATTTTGAAGAGTCCTGGGATATGGGAGGAATTTCACAGGCGTGGAAACCCTGAATCCTTTGCTAACTGTGAATGTGAAAACTTGGCTGTCACTAGCACACCAAGGTGATGGGTGTGGATCATCTCCAAGGCTTCTTTCTGTTGAAATCTATCATCAGGGATTTTCTACCTTCATGCAGGTAGTTTCTCATCAAGTAATCAAGAAGGGCAACACATTCTTTCCCCTCTGTGCACTCCTGACTGCCCTCACTTAACTCCCATCCCTCTGCCCCAACCACGTCTGTTTGCAAGGGGCTGCCTTGCTCTCAGCCCAAGTCCCAAAAACAATGCTGGCTGGGAATGTCAGACCCCAGGGTCGACCTAAAACAACATAACCTTGGAGGCTTAAAGCAAGTAAGCAGACTATTAATAGTAACATGGATTTCTAGTGACATGTTTTGTCTTTAATGCCCCATCCAATCAGACTTCCAAAGCATAACAAGTCTACTTGCTTTTTGCATTGGGAATTGGAAACTCATCATACTGAAAAGAGAGTGTAACTTACCAGTCCATTAAAGTAAGAGAGAGAATTTAAAGGCATTAGATTTACTTGTGGAGAGAGATGTTTCTCTGACTCCAATTTCAAAACAATTTTGAAAATAAAAGGGCTCAAAGATTTATGGTAAATTCTCTTACATCAGAAAGATAATTATCTGTATAATGCCTATGTGTGCATTAAATAAACAAACACATACACATACATACATACACACTCACAAAACCCCACTAAAGCTGATGCTAATAAGTAAGGATTCCCAAGTGGCACATAATCCATGCTTAATAAATAAAAGTTGAATGAGGGAGTTGTATTATTATCAGCATTTAACAGATGAGGGGATGAAGGCTGATAGTTTAAACTATTTCTTAAGCAAGTACAGTTAGTAAAAAACAGCGATGGTCAGTTATTTTTACTAGTGGGAAAACACACTAACAGAAATTTTCAAAAATAAAGTCTGAATGACAAAATAGGCCAAAAACATCTCCCCATTTGCATTGGATAAATGGTGATGGACAGAGACCTGACTTGGGGTGGCAAACACACAATGCAGTGTACAGATGATGTGTTGTAGGACTGTGCACCGGAAACCTGTAAATTTGGTTAACCAGCGTCACCCCACTGCGCACTCACCTTCTAACACCGAGGAAAAACACTAATGCTCTCAGCTGAGTTCATTCCACTATACACGTTCTCACTGCATAGCAGATATGGATTTAATAAACTTGAGAGAAGCAGGTAGTGTAGACTAATAAACAGAAAACCACAAAGGGTTCTTAGTATGATTACCCCCATAGATTCCAAATTAGAGAAAAGGTTGCAGCTAACATTTTAAATACAGAATGCTAGTGTGGGAAATAATTCATTAAGGTTGCACTTTGTATTTTCCTCTGAAAAATTAGGTTGCATTCCTATGAATAATATCAAATAATGTAATCTAATCAATCATCTTCTATGAGGATTCATTCTTTAACACTTCACTATTTTACAGTGCAGGCTACACCTTAAGAAATGCCTGCATTAATTCTACACACTCCACAGTATTTGCCACATGGTATAATAGTACATGTCAAAGTGTGGGGAACTTGTGGGAATTAATACTTTAATAACATAGAAGCAGACCACATTTCATAGTTTTATTGAGACTTTTTCAGTTCTAATTATCTATGGTAGGTACAATTCTAGTGACCACGATTATATCAAGGTTCTGATTATATCAAGGCTCTGTTGTTATTATCAATAGCAGATGCAAGGTTGGCTGCCATGCCTTACACACACACACACACACACACACACACACACACAATATTGTATACTCCTGCATGCAAACGTATAGGAAATGTACGTTTTATTAAAAACACAATTGTGCACAATTAATCTGGAATTTGTTAGGCTACCATTGATTTAGATAAACCTGAGAAAGCTCAAAATGTCAAGTAACACTGTTTCCACACCGCTCATCCAATGGCACTGTCAATCACAGAGAAACCCAGTTCAATTACTATATTAAATCACAGATAATATAAAAATAAACATTTTTGCAAAAGCACTACAACATACTAGAATTCAAATTCACAAATTCTGATATGTCACATATATTCCCCTTCATATTAATTTGTAACGATGTGTACAATACAATGTACAACAGAATAAGAAACGTAACAGAATTCAGCAGCCAAACATAATAGTTATCATTATAAAACTTAGAATTAAAGTTATCACTGAACAAATAAAACAGATTAAATGAATTGCTGTGTTAAACTTGCTGGTAGTGTGTTACTTAGGAACTCCATCTCAAAGAAATTAAGATTATACTATATTAGACCTTAAAAAGGAACACAGCACAAACATTTAAGCAGAACTGAGCACACAAAACTGGTTATATAAGTTGTCTCTTTCTCTCCACATCTCCCCAACGTTTTTCTTTAAATTCTAATGTTGTATTGATAATGCCCATCCCACCAGACTTCTAAGAGAATCTACTTTGAATTTAGGATAAGCATAATACATTTGGAAATAGAAGTTCTGACAATATTTGAGGGCACAATTCTAAATGTCCTGAAAAGACAATGTCAGCTTTTCTATGATATTATATACAGACCCAGATGTTTTGTATTTGCTATCGATCTAATAATAGTTTGACAACAAATTGTGTCTGTATAGAAAGAATCCTACATCAAAAGGTAAACGTGCAAAAGGTATCTAGAAAAAATTAATCACTAGTATCACAAAACAGATTTTCGTATTTTAGATTTTAAAAAAAGTCTGAAAACAAACATTTCCAGGTACTAATATTTGAAAAGCATCATAATATACAATAACTCATTTTATCTATGCATTGTTCATTATGTAAAATATACCTACCAGTGTGACATTAATATTATACATTGTAATAAATATAATTTACATCAGTATGTTGGCTCTTTCAAGAAAGTCTTTCAATCTATACAACTGAAGAACTGTAAGCTTCATTAATAAATACTATTATGATAGCTGCAATTTGACAAACAAAGTTAAAGCTTCAGTAGATCTCTAACTAGTTACACATTTTTATTGTCACCTGTCCAATTCCAGCCGCTCTAAGCATTGACATCTTTTGTATCCAAAGGCAGTGTAGTGTACTGCTGGAGTAGATGAAGACTTACAGGTCATAGTTCCACATATGGTGAACTTCGTAAGAATTTTTAGTCAAGGACTAGAATTGAAGAGTTCTGAAAAACACAGTAGCAGATTTCATTCACCATTGGCTATCTGTAGTTTTAATGTTTCCCACATCCCCTAAGGCCCCAATAGATAGATGTTATCCAAGTTTTTTAATCCAAAGAATGGTCTTGAAAGGGTCGTGAGTTCCATAGCTGGCCAAGTGGCAACATCATGGATATGACTCTGAATTCTACACTCATGCAGTATCTCTTCTCGGTTTGTCTTTTTATCATTTTAGTGCAAACATGTCGATGTTCAAAGAGTGAAAGATGTAATTTGTGTGCCATAAAACACCTTGAACTTGGCACTAAAAATGGTTTTGTATTGTGAAATTTAGTTAACTAATAAATCCTATCATCTTAGCAGTTTTTTTTTTAATCAAAATGCCAACAGACTTCTGTCTTTATTAAAATACTTATTAATATCATCACATGCCAAGAATCAGATTTTAAGATCACTGCTTCATCTTGACCCTCTTTTCACCATTAGCACAGACTCTTCCCAGAGACTTCTTTTTGCCTGGAAGGAGTTAGTGAGATCATTATTGTTACTATTTGACATGCATTTACATGTCACCATTGTCTACTGCATGATGTATGAAGCTAAAGAAGAAACACTGGAAAAACAAAAACATATCAAGAAGTAAAAGAGTATTTCTTGTTACTGTCCACCTCCTCAGTGGATCCACACTCCATAAGAAAGTTCTCTGAAAGATGAAACAATGTACTTAACACATCAGGCTGGGCATCTTGAGACCTAAAAGGAAGAAAACTAAAGTAAACGATGAGGAAATACTACAGGAATGGGTACCATTAGACTTTGAGATTAAAGATGGTACAGTCTTTAACATTTCCATTTTGTTCAATTTAGTGATATTAATCTTGTCTCACTGAACATGATGCTTGACAGGGACAATACAGTAATAACATATTTTAGACTTTCTTTTTGAGGATTGCACAAAAGACAATCCTGTAGGACCCTAGCCAAGTGAGAACCTAGCTAACCACCTTCCTCAACATGAGTGGTGTAGATAGGACATCTAAAAGATTTCTTCTGCAATAATTCTGTGCATTAACACTGAACATGCCAAAAAGAACCACTCTTTAGGAAGCTAGACACAGCTGTTCTTCATTGGTCTTTGTGGCCTGAGACTGGATAAACCAAAGTAACTCTAAGAAGAAAGTGAAGGTTTGTAAATCGGCAATCCACCCTGACAGGGTGCAAACTGAAAGCCATCCCCCACTTACCTCTCCCTATGTCCCCCAGGCTCTTGCCTTAAGACACAACCCCCAGTTACTTTACTTATAAGGTGCTTTCAAACAAGTTATTCCACCATGAGTTGCAGACTCTGATGTTAGCTTTATTGGGACTAGTTTGCACAATTAAACATTCCTTTGACACCGGATTTATTTGTTTGGAGCTATAAACGGTGTTACCTCACCTTGTTATTCTATATTATATAGAATTTTAAAGTTTTAAGGGCTAGAAATGCAGCAATACAATATTCACTGGAAATTATTATTAAAATTATTGAAGTATTTTACAGATTTTGCATTACTGTTTGGCAGAGAAAAAATATAAAACACTGACCAGTGGTCTTCTCTTACAAACTATTCATAGTATGATTGGTAGTTTCTACAACTTACTTTTCACTGCTAGGGTACCTTAGGTACTTACATTTAATTCTCCTTATTTCCCTCTCTCACATATTTTGAGGGTTCCCCCCCCCTTTACATAAGGATATAAGATGTAGTAAAGGTTTGTAGCTTCTCATTCTATCAATACAACCCACATGAATTACACCTTCTTTTCATATTGCATTTAATGTTTCCCAACATTTCAAAGAAGCAAAAAAGAACCTTTATACTATGTTTTTAATGTAAAGTTCTCAATCTAAAAATGTCTTCTCCCCAGTTCCCTGTTGCCTCATACATCTGAGAATATGATTGTACACTATGCTTTGTGATCCACTCTTCCTCTGGTATTACCAACGTCCTGCTCCACAGCCCTCAACTTTGGTCTGTAATTTATCTGTGATTTTTCACCATTGTTTTTACAGATGTGAGTGAGCATTTGCACTGGAACATACACAAAATCCTGAGGCACCACGCAGCAGTGATGCAAGTCACTCTCTCTATCACGGGAGGTCTAACAGAGTCCATGGCGTTTACAAGGAAAGTAAAAGCCCTTGGATTATTTTTAATGCATTTTACCCGTAAGATAATATATGCAGGTTTCCATCTTCAAACACTTAGCACCCAACATACAGTGTGAGCAGTTTTCTAGAAATAACTGGAAAATCACTTTTTAGGCTTTTAAATTCATTGGCTTTACTTTTCCATCCAAGTCTCCAAGAAACTCAGTCAGCTACCACCTATGCTGGTAGGACTGAAAACGACACCCAGCTGAGACCTCTGCTCATCTGATATTGAATGAATCAAATTTAGTATTTGGCTAAATGGGGAGCTTCAGCTTGTTCCCATAATGGGTTATTAAAAACATTAAAGACTAGATGAATCACAAACTTAAGTTTCAGGTGGTCAGTTTTCCTGGAGAAATTAATAGCAAAATAGCTCCAGTATTCAAGTGCACTTTAAACAGAAAAGCTTGTAAATTTTAATGGCAGAAGAGAAGGTAAATGTTTAACTGGGGTAGTATTTTTTTATTATACATACTTCTGGTGGGAAAGAAGCGAGGCCTTGAAAGCAAACCCAAACAAGCTAAGTGTGAGTGTGGACATTTCCAGTTCTTTTTTTTTTAACTCACTAATTTCTTGGTTTGATTTTTCTCTAAACTTTTAGAAGCTTAAAGGTGGGGGTTAGGGGGGAAGCCCACGGCTCTATCAAGCATCCTACCATGTTACAATAGTGGGTGTTTGGGGATTCTTGCATCTTCACAAGCTTGTATCTCCATTCTGCTTGAACTCGGATAAAATATTGAGGGTCATGTCTTCACTCTTGGACTGCAAATTTGCCTCACTTCTTCTGGAAGCTTTCCTAGTTGCTCGGGAGAGCCTCCTTCTGAAAGTATCTCCTGCCAAGAAATAGAGAATAGGGTCCACACAACTGTTGAGACTTGCTAGACCTCTTGTCACCTGATAAGTGGCATAAACTCTGTCATTGAAAGCACACATGTCTGGGGTCTGAAAATCCAGCCGAGCCCTCAAATTCATCGTTTTCATGACATGGAAAGGGATGTAAGACACACCAAAAACAGTCAGTACAATAATCACCAGGTAAATTGATTTCCTCCTCAGAGGCGAGTTGTCCAGGTCATTGTAAATCAAAGCTCTCACAATTAATCCGTAACAGCCCAGAATCAGCACCAAGGGGACACAGAACATGGCTACAGTCGTGCACATGCTGTAGATGAAATAACTTCGCAGGTACTCGTCTGAAGTGGTGTCGTAGCAGGTGATGGTTTTGTTTTTGCGGACCCCGGTGCCCGAGTAGAAGAGGATGGGGGAGATCCCCAGGACCACGACGAACCACACCAGCACACTGATGTAGACAGCGTTCTTCTTCTTGAGCCTGCCCAGGGACTTCAGTGGATACACCACGCCACTGTAGCGGTGCACGCTGATGCAGGTTAGGAACAAGATGCTGCCATAGAGGTTCACGTGGAAGATGAACCTCTGCAGCTTGCACATGGCATCCCCAAAGATCCAGTCTGTCTTGTTAAAGTAGTAGAAGATGAGCGCGGGCAAAGTCAGCACGTACAAGAAGTCAGCCACGGCCAAGTTGAACATGTACACGGAGATGCCGCTCCACGGCTTCATGTGGAAGACAAACATCCAGATGGCCACGCTGTTGCCCACGAAGCCGATGATGAACACCAAGATGTAGACAATCGGAAGGTAGTAGAACTGGAAGCCCGTCTTGGTCAGCGGGCATTTGGACGAGGCTGCGACAGCGGCGGTGGAGGCGACTGTGCTGTTCCCCCAGGGAGAGCCCGGGCTGGCCAGAAAGGCAGCGTCCGTCCCGTTGGGGACAGCCGACCACAGCACCTCGGTCATTCTCTCGTCCCGGACTTAGGCGGAGGCTCCGAGGGGCGAACGGCAGGGAAAGGGCGGCGGCGGCGGCGGAGAGGGGCGCAGCGAGCATCGGAAAAGCGGGCGAGCGGAAGGGAGCGGGCACCGGGGAGCCCCGCGGGAGGGGGCGCGCGAGGGTTCGCCCACGCCGGCTCCGGCCCCACGATCGCTGCGGGCCATGAAATCCGCCCGGGACCGGGACCGAACCGGGCTGGCGGGCGGCCCAGTAACTTCCCCGTCCCGGCTGGCAGCGCCGAGGTTACACAACAGCGCGCAGGCAGGGCGCCGCTGCCCACAACTTCGCGCTGCGCTTTCCCGAGGGGCCGCCGGTCTGCGCCGCAGGCTCAGGTCCGGCCAAACTCACTGTGCGGCTCCCGCGCGGGGAGGGCGCTCCTCTGCCTCCTGACCCCGGCGGTCAACTTCGCGGGGCATCTTCCTGCTCCCCACCTGCAAGCACGGCGGCTGCAGACCTGTGCGCGTTCCGATAGCCTGCCTTGGCCGCCAGTCCCGCTCCGGGGCCTCCTCCCGCCCTGCGAGGTCCCGAGTGCAGGGGGCAGGCGGGAGAGCGGCTCCCCGCGAGGCTGGGCGGAGTCTGGGCACCGGCGCCGGGAGGCGAGGGGCGTGCCTCCAGCCCGCCGGGCGACCCGCGGGGCTGTGCAGCGCTTTCGCCGGAGCCTGAGTGTCTTCTAGGGGGGTGTCCGCGGTGGCCGGTGCTCCGCTGCTGCCCTCGGCTGCTACCGGAGTCCGGCGGGACGAAGGGCGCGCCCTTCAGGGCTGGCTGCTGGGGAGCGATTGGCCCCGAGCGCTCCCTCCGCTCTTCCGCCAGCTATCTCTGCAAAGTGAAGTTGCTGACACACAGGAAACCCTTCTGAACGCTCCCAGCCTTGTGCCTGCAGCCCGAGAGCCCACCCTTCCGAGGCAGACCTCTCCAGGGCGCTGGAGAACCAAGCCAGGTGCTGGCAGGTTCCAAGCAGCCCGCAGTGCCCCGCCGGGAACGCCCTGGCTCCGCTGTGCCTCTGCACGGGGACCAGATTCCTCGCGCAAGCAGGAACCTGCTGCTCCAGGACGGCCCCAGCCTTTCCAGGAGGCGGGGTGGGGAGGGGAGGGGCTTTCTGCCCTTCTAGTCTTTCTTCACTTTATTTCAATATTGATTTTCTTAATTAAGCAAATGCTAATAAACCGACGTCATTTGGTAACAGCAACTTGAGAATTTCTAAAAGGGCCTTGTAAAAATTAGTTTGTAGTTCACGTTACTTCAGCACAATTGAACTAGGTACCTACCACCTAACAACCCAGGCTCCCCAGATACTCCTGTCCAGTACATTTCATTCAAGTTCCGAGGCTGCAATAAAAAGTAATTAAAACTTGTTTTGGAAGTCACTTGAATATTAAATACAGGATATAGGATAGAGGTAAAGAACAATTGAAACTCCATAGTGATTAAGGTATGATGGGGGGGGGGGGTGTTATTACAACACTGTGTCTTTAGACTAAAATGATTAGTCACAATCATCTCTAGTAAGTACTTTAACACTATAGGTTGGGATTTTCTTAAATACTACATTTATTTAAAAACTTGTTTTCATGGCTTGAATGCATCAAAAATTTAGCCACTGCATTTCAAAATTATATTTAAGTTTAATTAGAAAATTATTAGCTGTTTAGGGACATATTTCAGTGGGCCCACACAGAAATGTAATCTAGCACTTCTTGACATTCACTGATTAGTGGAATATTTTGTGTGAAATTATTACAAAATCTTTTCTCTTAGAAGAAAAATAATCCAAAAAAAAAAAAATACCTGTAAAATATGTACCATAAAGATTTCTTTCTGGTGCTAGATGTCACATGATGATGTTCTCTTTTTTAAAAAATGCTCCTAGGAAAACCTCCGGCCCTTGGCTTTGATACCACAAAGGAAAATTCCCCACAAGACCCAGATGGTCCTTTAGAAGAACACCTGTAGAAAGGAGCATATCCAAACACAGGGTACTGGCAGCACAATGGTATTTTGAATTGTGGTCTATTGAACAGCATGAAAATAACTGATAAAACGAGAGTGAATAAGTTAAGTGAAGGGCGTGAATGCTGTTGTTTTGAAAACAGTCTTAATTGAGATAAATGCTACTGGCCTCAGTCTTCTCATCAACAACATAGGACAGTTGGCTTTAATTGTCTTTTATTTTTCATTCCAGTCCTCAGATGAAGTGATTCTATAATTCTGAGCCTTAACATTTTCGTATTGTTTCATTGGGATGGTACTAACTGGGGTGATATTCCATTATGGGAGAGAAGGAAGCAAGAAAAACCATTAAGAAAAGTCCCATTGGTACTCAATAGGTCCTAACTTCTCACTGCTTTGCATTTTTTATTTGTAACACAGGCAATATGTGACCTCACTCAGAAGCCTTTGCAAATGCATTAACTCGTGATGTGAGTGTTTTTAAATGTACACTTAGTCCAAATACCATTAAGTACGGTCAGAAAACTTGACACCTTACTAGGAATTTGGAGAAGATAGTTGTCCTGAGTGTACTACAGATTTCTTTTTAATGATGTTAGAAAGGTATATTTTGTAAGCACGACTTTTACATTCAGCATATTTAACTATATATTTATAATATGTTTAACTTATATTTTAAATCAAAATTGTGCCTTTTGGAAATATTTTACATGTATTCACTTATTGTTTGTTGATAACTTTCTATTCGTAAAACATTTAACTAGATTTAATGAAAGAAAAAAGTTAACCTCCATCTAAGACCCAATAACATGTCAGTATTTATTGATATTTGAATACCAATTATAAATGCCTTAAAGTTATGAAAACAACATGGTGTTTCTTAAGTGACTTCCCCAAATGCTTTGTATTAATTTATTTTGTATTTGATTAATGATGCAAATGCCTGACTTCAAGTTCTCCAATTCAGTTGGAAATGCAAACAATATACCCAGTCATGATAATAACATATAATAATAGCAATAATAAGCTTTTCTTATATACTTAGCACTGTGCACATTAAATAATGATTATCATTTTTAATCCTTAAAAATATCCTATGATGATGTTTGACAATTGTATTCCTATTTTATAAGTGGTGAAACTAAGGCACAGAGAAGTTAAGTAACTTATCCATAGTCACACAGTAAAACTGGGACTTAAACCTAAGCCATCTACCCCTAAAGCCCATACATTTAACTACTACTCTATGATGTAATACAAGTACAGGGCATTGGTAGAAAAATTAAATTTTAGTGACCACTACAAGTTGAACATAAAAAGGGTTATTTCCAGAAGCCTTCTATCAAGAGAGAAAATTTTGAGCCAGACTTTGAAAGGTACTGATAGTCAAACAATCTTTCAGAAGCTTCCCAAAAGTTCTACTCTACTTATGCTGCTAAAATTAGCCAACAATTTATATATGATCTGAGAAGGACCCATAATCCTCGGGAAGTCAGAACTGTTTAGCCTCAGATTCATAAACAAAAATGCTGCCCTTCTTATGTTTACAAACATTCTCATAACCATTGTTAGGAAATCACTTCTTTCTCCTTCTTTAAAGTCAGAAAATCCAACAGGCATCGAGGATGGAAAGACCATTGAAAAAAGTCTAACCAAGGGCCACACACATAAGAAGAAAGAAAAGAAACCTTTGATAAACATAAAATATAAAGTCTCTCAACTTTAAAGTTGAGACTAAGAACTATGAGATTAAATAAACACTATATACACATGCTAAACCTGATGTGGGTGACAGTGTGGAAGAAGAGAGTGCTTATGGGCAGGATACCCGTTATGATTCTGCAGGTGAGAGGCACTGCGACCCTGATTTGGAGTTAAGGGCATCCTTTGAGAGATCCTTCTAAGTATAATAAGTAAAATGTGATAACTTCTGAGATACACCTTAGGAAAGTGAGGAGACTCTTGTATCCTGGCCCACCCTCCAAGAGGAGACAGAAATAGAAGAAAGGGTCTAAGGAACTCATAGCCAGCGTCCCCCAGTGAAGCAGGAGAAGGAAAGAGGGCGAGATGGAACGGAAGAGGACCAGGAACTTACTGAGAAAGAATAAAAAGATTGTCCTGTTCTGCAGAGGGCCCAGCTGCTCCTATAAATTATGTGCTTGTCATGGATCCAATGAGTAGACTTCCTGAAATTTATTTCATTAAGAATCACAGCAGGGGTAGAGGACACAGAATAGGAGACAACCGGGTTTCTCCAAGGTTGAAATGAGGAGGAGACCAAGAGACCGGGAAGGTCCTGGGAAAGAGAGGGGAGACAGAAAATGGGAGGGGGAGGCAGAGGAGGAAAGTGCAGGAGAGGAAGAAGGAGAAAGCAAGGTACTTGCTCAGAAATAGGGAGAGACCTTGGATAAGCTCACTGAGCATTGCTTTTCGATGATTTAGTTTTAAATCTGGGTGGATGTCAGGGGAGAGGTGTGAGAGGTGGTAAGATAACCCAGGCTACATGTTTCTGTGGTCAAAGTAATGTCACTGTTGAGTATTTGCCCCTTAACAAATATCACTGAGCTGGGTTTTCCATTGGTGCCTTATCACTTGCAGGAACCCAGGCCACTTACATCTTCCATCCTTCAGAAAGCTTCTCGCTCCCAGAGTACTCGGGAAACTGCTTTCCTGTATTCCCTTTTCAATGTTCTCTTCCCTTGTTCCCATCTGTGTGAAGCCTTAAGTCCCAAACAGTCTTGGGCACTTTATAATATTTTCAAAAGAATTTTGGTAATTCCAGAATAAAAGGCTCCAGTCCTGGCTTTGTAGGCTCAGTCTTTCTCAAATCATCCTTCTCAATAAATATTCCCTTTGCTCTCTTTGTCTCCGACCTCTCTGGGTTCAATAAGACATGTCTTCCAACATCTAGTGGTAACAGATTAGAAACGCTGTACTACATGCCAGTTCTTCTACAGTTTCTTTATACACTTAGCCTTTTAAGAAGACAGGGACGTAAATGTTCACAGAGCCAGATACCCATATACCTGTGGGTGCACAAATACCTTTCAGCCAGATACCACATCTGAGGTCTTGTTCCATAACTGTGGACCACGGAGGGTTCCCATGAGAGCAGAAAGGGTAAGCATATGACAATATTTGAGTTATTTGTCATCGTTATTATATCCACCATAAATAAATTGTTGATTTTTGGTACATCCATATTTTAAATATATAAGCTAAATTCCAAATAGGCTAATGAAAATCATGTGTAAAAATAAAGAGATACCTGTTTTCTTATGTTAAGCCACATCTTCTATTAGCTCGCTCCTGGGGTGTTGGTTTCAATTATGCCCCAAATGCTTCACATTTTTCAATATTAAAGTGATAACAGTCAGTTGTTGTCATTCATATTTCAGATTTTGGAATGTGGCTGTCTGAAAAGTTGATAACTAGTTTTCACCAGTAGCACTGAAAATGTGAACCCACTTTAAGTAGAGAAGCCTTGTGTCCATTTTTACAATCTTTTTGGGTTAGATTCTTGTAGAAAGACTGACAGGATGGTTTAACCCCAGAAAGCCTGCTTACAATGAACCAAACTTTGAACACCCTTCTGGAGAGTTATCTGGGTGAC